GATGAAATCTTTTCTTCTATTTGTGTTAGAAACCAAAGGCCTTTGAGGTCTGAACAAGTTAAAGGCTGCGTTTCAGTGGAGGCCCGTTGGAAACCTGTCTGTATGAGGCTTCCTTTGCTCTGGATGAAATGTACATACTTTGTTCTTTTTATTTATCAAAATAGTTATTTCAGATTTTATTTTTCTATTATTTCTAAACTTACCCAAAACAACCAAACCAGGGGGAGGGGAGAAAGTCAATAAAAATAAAAACAACAACAACAACAACAACAACTGATGCACACTGTTGCCTGGAATCTGCAAAAAGTTGACTTTATTGAGATAGGGCTACCATTGAATGATTCTCCTGTTTTCTCTATAGCTTGGTGGGATTTTGTTAACTTGTAGGAAGGTCCAAGTCACTGGTTGAAAGTTGTTTTTTATCTCATACTTGCCGAGTCAGCTCAGCCTCATGCAAACGGAGGCTGCTCATTCATTTCCTGGCTGCCCAGACCCGAATAATCACACAGAAACTACATTAATTACAACACTGCTTTGTCAATGACTTAGGCATATTCCTACCTAGCTCTTATATCCTAAATTAACCCACTTCTATTAATCTGTGTATCACCATAAGGCTGTGCCTTACCAGAAAGGTTTTAGCTTCTTTCTCCTTCAGCAGCTCCATGGTGTCTCATCGACTCTGCCTTCTTTCCTCCTCTATCTCTGCTTGGTTTTTCTGCCTTGCTATATTTTGCCAGGCCATAGGCCGAGCAGCTTCTTTATTAACCAATGGTAATAAGACTTATTCAGAGCATACAGAGGGGAATCCCACATCAGCCTCAGTGACACTTTCCATCCCTGGCTTTGCTCAGTGTGGAAACCAAGCCTGCAGGAGTGGGAATGAGGGGGAGGAGGTAGAAGGGGTCATCCCGGATTTCTCTCCAATCTTCAGGAATTGTCCTGCCATTGATACATGCTGACTTCTTGTTACAAGTAGAGCATTTAAACTTCCTCTTCTGCCAGCACAATTTCAAACATTTGCTGAGGACTGACAACCCTTTTCACAGCAGATATGCTGGAGGTGGTTATGAATAAAGATCGCTTGGCATCTGCCTCTGCCTCTGATCTTTAACCCTGGCCACAAATACTGCAAGTGTTTGTTCCGGCTTATAACTTTGTTTTCCTCTTAAGGGTAGAGTTTCCCTTTCAAGTGTGCTAAGTTTCTGTGTGGTGGATTCAGTAGGGTTTTTCCACTTACGATTTTGTCTATGCTAAATTGTTGTCTCCAACCAAAAAGGAACAGTTGGTGTGATGATGGCCCTTTGAGGTCAGTCACGTGGCCTTGGCATCTGGGAACACGTGTCAGACTTGGACTCTTCAGGGGAATGACTTTCGGGGCTGAGTATCTTGACATATATAAGCAAAGCCTTCCCTCCAGCTTCGTGAGGTATGCATTAGTCTGGTTTTTCCAACCTAGAAGCTGCATATTCCTAGCAGGGTCACCTGGGGGGTTCTCAGTCTTCTCTGTGGAAGCAAATGAGCAGCTCTGGGTGCCTGACGTTACTGAGGGCTGTGGCATCTTCGCGTTAGCAGATTTTGCGCCTGCCAAGAAGGGAGCCATGCTGTGCACAAAAGTGAACTTAGCAGTGGGTGGGTAAATGCCACTCACCTGAGTTGAACCCTCGGCCCTTTCACGTTGATTTCTTCCTCTTCAAAACTTTCTTCCTTAGCCTGATTAGGTTTCCATATAGTCCCATTTATTTGTTTGAGGTTGTGATCAGAAAAGACAAGCAAATGTCTTCTTAGATGTTGCATTGTGTGCGTCTCCCCCCCCCCCATTCTACATACTTATCCTTTTCATTTGGTGACATGGTATTCGATCAGCTGAACCGAGTAGAGTCTTTTCATCTCAACCCGAGCTAGACCTAAGAGAGCCTTAGTATTTTAGCTCAGGTTCCGTCTAACACAGATTTTAAAGGAGGAGTTGAATGTAAGAAGTTGATGTAGGAGGGATTCCAGGTAGTGATGGAAGGGAGTGGAGAAACGAGGCAGGGAAGGGAGCATGTCCAGGCTACCGTGATGGGATTCTTCTGCGGGAAGACTGAGCTTGTCTTGGTGAGAATCTCTTGGAAAGTCAGCACAGGTCACAGCTGAGAATTTTCTATGAATTTGTTTCTTTTCTATTGTCCTAACCAAATATCTGACAATAGACAATGGAAGGATTTATTCGGAACCAGAGGCAGATAGCTCATCATGGTGGGGAAGGTGTGGTGGCAGATGTGGCTTGGTCCCTGCTGCTGCCAAGAAAGGGGAAAAAGGAGAATGCTGGTGCTCAGCCGCCTGCTCTTCACCCCTGCTTATTCATCCTGAGATGGAGCCTAAGAGATGGTGCTCCTGACATTCTCAGTGGATCTTTTTCCTCAGTCAATCCTCTCTGGAATACCCTCATCTATATCTATGTCTATGTCTATGTCTATGTCTATGTCTATGTCTATGTCTATGTCTATGTCTATATCTATATCTATATCTATATCTATATCTATATCTATATCTATATCTATAGACCTGCCTTGCCAATTCCCTAGGCTTCTACTAATCCAGTTAAGTTGACAATCACAATAAACCATCATACGGACCCAGAAAAGGCACTTCACACGAAGCCAAAGCGTTTGTGAGATATTTCTCTTAATATAGAAGATACATTTCCTGGCTTACCTGAAACAATGGACCTTTTCAGGCTAGGATTCTTAGGAAGTTGGTAATGGTATTAGAAACTTAGGAGGTAAGTGCTTCCAAATGAGTATCACAATACCATAGTAAGGGACAAGATGGCTGAGTGGGTAAAAGAGCTTGCTGTGTAAAACTCAGGCTGGACAGCCTGAGTTTGATCCTGACACCATGGTGGAAGGAAAGCACAAAGTCCCAAAAGATGACCTCTGACCTCCACACATGTGCTATGGCATGTTCCTCCCCCACCCCCCTTCTCTCTTGGAATAAAATAGAAATGGAAAAAACAATCATAGTAAGGACATCTACCTGTCTCTAATTTGTTTAGGTCACAAGGGATTATATCATATCTAGTATTTTTTTTTTTTAAGAAAGCACGGTTTTGGTCTCTGGAAGTAGAGGTATGATGTAGGAGGTTCTTCTGCCCCGACAATGACAGGAGACTTTAGATGACTCTGAAGCTAGCAGACGAAAGGCAGGGATGGCATGTGTCCCTCTCACCTCTTCCGTCCAGAGTCTAAATATTCACCATTGCTGGGTAATTGTCTCAGGTGGGAATTTTGCCGGGCTTAAGCAAGAGAAACATGAATAATATTGAAAGGTTCTTGCTTCTGGATGGCAGGAACAAGAGGACTAGGAAACGCAGGTCCACCAGTCTTCTCCCTTCCTTCCACCTTCCTGTCCCTTCACCCTCCTCTCCTCAGCACAAACGTTTCTTCTCCTCCTTACCAGAAGGATGGACAGCTTCTCCTTGGCTCAACCCCATGCTGGCAATGGCGGGCTCTCTTGGACTTTGGGCTGGGTTGCTTCAGCCCAAGTATTAGACGGAGTCAGCTGTCTGACTGACACGTAAGGTGGCTACTAAGTGACAGATGGGTAAGTAGCTTATATAGTGTAGATACGCCGGTCGCCATCATGATTCATGTCCGTGGTGAGAATGGAGAAAGTGTAAAATTTTAACATGCTACTCAGAGTGGGAAGCAATGGGAGAATTGCTAATCATTTCCGGAATTTTCTAGTATTTTTCAGTTGGCCAGGAGTCATTAAGATGACAAAAAGGGAAAGCATAAATTAAAGGGGACTCTTTTGTGAAGGTTTGTGTTTTTTTAAATGGACAAACATAGCTTGTATTTACTAGGTAAGTTTTTAAATTTTTTTAAAATGCTGTTTTAAAGTGTAATGACTTAATGTTACCCATAGACTTCTGCAATAGAACTTCAGAATCCAGCTGCCCCTCCCTCTCTTCCCTACGTCCAGTCTCCCACCTCTTTCTACACTTATCCTACAATTGGTTACGTCAGCAATGACTGTGAGATTGGTTGCTAAGCTGCTTGAGTTCACAGTTCTGTGAACACCTGGCTGCTGGTGTTCTGGGACAGGTAAAAGGATTTCTGCACTGGACCTCCTTGATCACTTTTGTCTGGTGCCTCATTGGGACCTCTAGTATGATTGGTGTCCCAGACTTTTGAGTCCGATCGTCTGGGACTGAAGAGCCAGCCATGATTGACATGAGACCAGCACTTTGCAATACAGGGATGATTGATGCCGGTCAGTTGGAGCTAAGAAATTACTGGTGATTAAGAAGAGATCATCAGGGTGGTGGGGCATGGCGCGGGGAGTGCTCAGGGGGACTGTTGGTGGATGGCATTTTGGGCTATAGGGAGGATCTCAGCTTAGGCTCCTAGCAACACTTGATAGTAGCCTGATCTGGCTGTCTCCTGTGACCAGATTGGTGCCTGGTCCAATTGTCATCAGAGAGGCATCATCCAGCAATTGATGGAGGCAGACGCAAAGACCCACGGCTAAACATTAGGCAGAGTTCAGGAATCCTAGAGAGAAGGAGAAGAAGGAGAAAGAAGGAGTGTAGGAGCCAGAGGCCACACCATGGAAAGCTCACAGAATCTGGGCTCATAGGAGTTCATGGAGACTGAACTGACAATCAGGGAGTGTGCATGAGGTTGACCTAAGCACTCTGCATATATGTTACACTTGTATAGCCTGGTCCTCTTATGGGACTCCTAATGGTGGGAACAGGGGCTGTTTTCAACTCTTTTACTGGCTTTTGGAACAATTCTCCTCATACTGGGTCACCTTGCCCAGCCTTAATGCATAGGGCAAGTGCTTAATATTCCTGCAACTTGATATGCGTGTTTTGTTGATAACCCTGGGAGACCTGCCCTTTCCTGGATGATGACAGAAGATGAGGGGACTGGAGGATGGGAGGGGGGAATAGGGAAGAGGGACTGGGAAGGGGGGATGAGGGGGAGCTGTGGCCAAAATGTAAAAAAAAAAATAGAGGAATTAAAAAAGTAAATAATAGTGAACAAGTAAAGCTGTGGACAGTGGCTGTTCAACTCAAAGGAAAAATAGAGACTGGCATCTGCGAGTGAAATCTGGGGAGTGTTTCCTGAGGTTGTACCTCATGCTGGAAGCCTAACTTGGTAATGTTAGAGTCACCCAGCTGGTACTGGTTTTGAAGGCATGAAGGGGTCATGGAAAGCAGCTGAGACCTGGCACTGTGGGAGGCCAGGAGAGGCCCAGTTGCAGCAGAAGACCCCAGCATCTTGGAGATGCCAGGACCATGGGACGACCACCAAGAACAGCAGCAGCAGTGGAGTGGAGCCAGCCAGAGCCTAGAGGACAAGACAAGCCATGCGTGCTGCAGAGGGCAGAACTGGCGAAGGGACCGAAACCCCTGGGGAGCCCAGAAGAGGGTGAGTGCATCCCAGACAATTGGGCATTGAGTTCTTTACAGTGTTGGAGTTTGCTTTTGTTTTGTTCGGATGGTTGACTGTGCCCCAGTTCTTCCCTCCTGAAGAAAAGCTTAGCTGAATTTTTGTCTCTGATAGAAGCCCACAGCTGAAAGGCTTTGAACATAGAGATTTTGTATTTTTAAAGGGAACAGATATTATAAAGAGACTGGAGTTTTCATGTGTTTTAATTTGTAAAGATTGGGACTTTTAAGGTTATTTGTGTTTTAAATGTGAGATCTCAGGAATGAATGAGAAAGGAAGGGTTGTGACTTAATGGTGATGTGTTTGTGTGTCAAGTTGACAAGGGGGCAATTGTTCTGGATAGTTTTATGTCAACTTGACACAAGCTATACTCATCCGAGAGGAGGGAGCCTCAATTAAGGAAATGCCTCCATAAGATCCAGCTGTAGACAAACCTGGAGTGCATTTTCTTAATTAGTCATTGGAGGGCGCGAGACCCTGATGCGGGATCCCCTCTGTGTGCTGTGAGTTATGTTTTGTTGTCATTGGTTAATAAATAAGCTGTTAGTGTTCTTAACTTTGAGCCATCTTTTCAGCTCCAAACCCAGGCTTGTTTACCCCCAGCTTTACTGTTGTGATTTAGCAAAAATTTTTTTTACTGAAGTGTCCAATAGATGTCTTGATAGATATTTATCATGATCAGATGATTGTCACGCCCACTGTGATGGTTAACATAGATGGTCGATTTGACAGCTAGAATCTCCTAGGAGACCAGCCTCTGGGCATGCCTGAGAGTTGTTATTTAGATAGGTTGATTAGATTGAGGTTGGCTGGCTTGCTCTCAGTGTGGGTGGTACTGTACTGGGGCCTTCAGGTCTGGACTGCATAAAGAGAAGGACAGCTAAGCACCAGCGTCCATAGGTCTCTGCTTCCTGACTGCGGGTCACAGCTAGTACTGCTGTAACTTCTCTGCCACGATGGGCTGTACCCTCCAACTCTAAGCCAAAATAGCTGTCTCCCTTAAGCTGTTTATCACAACAACAAGATATGCAACTAATCCTTCCCACCCTTCCCCGTGGCTGAAGCTCTTCTGTCAATCTCAGGCATGAAGATTACGACTTTGTTTATACTTCTTAAAGGAGACGTAAACGCTGACAGCGGCTTAGGTACAAGAACCTCTTCCTCTGGCTGTCGTCAGTCTTTCTACAGTGAGTGGCCCACCTGGGCTTTGGACCTTATCATTTAGCAGAGGACAGTGGCCTTGTTCAATACTCATTCTTTTACTGTGTCCTTATCCTGGAGTCTTGCTTCTTGCCAGTAGGTGGCAAGAGAGGCCTGGGAAAAACAACACGAACGAGAGGATTAATGAAGTCAGTTTATATTTTGTAGGACTGCCTCCCAGAGTGAGGCAGGGCCTCAAGGAAGTCTTTGATGGAAGCAAAGGTTTTCCCTGTAGACTTGCCTCAGGCTGGATAGAGGGCCATCTTTGAACTATTGTTTTTTTTAAGTTGCAATGTATATTTATCTATGTATAGCACATAGACACGTTCACATGCCTTCACAACTTACCACAAAGGTTTGTTAGCTCTTCTTGCATGCCAAAGTCTTCAGATACCCTATTCACACCACGGGGGTTTCAGAGCGACCAACATATAACCATGGAAGAGTTGATTGAACCCAAGCAAGAAGCCAGGATTTAGGACAGAGCCAAAGTATTGACAAACAACAAGTAGCTACTGAGGTCAGAAGTAAAAAGATTAAAGTTAGCTCAGGAAGCCAATAAAGGCAGGTGATTGGTTTCAGATATATGGCTGGGCTGGGAAGCAAGGAGTGTAACTCTGGTTGTTACGGGTACCAGTGGCCCCATAACCAGTTCAGCTTTGGGCCTGCAAGTCTGTTCTTGGCATCTTTGCGTATTGAAGAGCCTATGGGTGTAGACGTTGGAGGCAGATAGATCTAGGCATGAGTTTCAGCTCCGTGAACTCTAAGAACTATGGTTCCCGCACATGACATAACATTTCTGAGCCTTGGATGCTCATCTTCCAAATGTGGCTACCACAGTTAGCTCAAGGGTTGCTGTCAAAATTAAAATATCAGAGTTGCTTAACAAATAATATCTTTTAAGTAACCACTCACGTAATAATGAATAATACAAAGGGAAAAGGCCAAGGAAAGACATCTCACAAATATAATCTTTGGTCACAAGAGAAATAGTCTTAATAAATGAACATTATACTTATGAGGCATCTCATAACAATGACGGGGCAGGTATCTCATAAGTTTAATCTATAGCTCTATGTGGGAAAACAGTGCTCACAGTGTTTTATCTACCCTAGGGGAGGTGAGTGCCATCAACCCATGTACAACATGATACATTTTTGTTTGTGGTGGGCGGAAATTTGCTGAGTCTATCTTAGTGGCATAGCAGGTACATGGTCTAAATTAATGAATGCAAAGGTCCCAAGTGCACAATAGCTTAAAAGTGGAAAAAAGACCGTGGCTTAGCATGTGTGGTTGTATGTGTGTGTATATAACCATTCTTTGATAGTTACTATTAATACCCATTTTTTTTCTATTCTAGTAGTCACAATACATGTTCTAGCCCAGATACATCTAACTTTATTTAGGAAGAAAATAGAGAAAAACATCAAAATCTTTTCTGGGTATACTTTCAAACAAAACAAGGAAGCCACAGCAGGGAGAGCAGACACAAGGGAAAGAGACAGTACTCCCTTCTTGGCTCTCTTCCCAGACCTTCCATTCAGAGATGCATGGTGTCATCTCTCCTGCCCACACACGAGGATGAGCTGTCGGAAAGTCGGGATGGCTCAGTGAACAGAATTCATTTCGTGTCTTGACCAACCCTTAGGTCATTACATATGGAGATTATGCTTTTAAAAATCTCACCCCTCTAATTCTGTTGTGCTACAAGTTATTAGTGCCCTTCAATGAGGAGCAGACAGTGATGGGCAACTGATCAGTGAACACACTTAGGGGGTCCCCTATTTCCCTCCTCTAAATTTTGTGTTGGAGCTTTGTTGGCAGAACAGGCAGTCACAAGTGAGGCTGAGACAGTGTTTTACCCTCAGTATGGAGCAGTTATGCCCCACAGAAGGAACCTTCATCACAGACACAAGATGCTCCTAATGCAAGACAAAACATTATGAGCTCTGACTATAGGAACGCAGGAAGACAAAAAGCGTGCAGGAGAATCCAAGTTTTCCTGAATGGTAGCTTTACTTTTTAAGACAAAGTCTTGTGTACTTCAAGGTGGTCTTTAACTAATTGTGTGGCTGATAATGGCCTTGAACTCCTAATCTTCCTGCTTCGACTCCCAAGTTACCAGGATTACAGGCAAACGTCACCATAACCAGCTCCTGAATAGTAAGTCTTAAAACCATCATATCATTCAATATATGTCAGTGGGGGTTTTTATTTATACAAAGGCCAGCTCTCTCAGTAAAAACACACATTTTTTACATTGCCTATTTACTTACAAAATGTGACCATATCGAACCACTTCTCTGGAAATGTCACTTCCCATCAGCTTGGAGTTTGAAAAGCAAGCCGGCGATCGCTGATTTGATGTAAGAGAAGGCTGCAGAGGATTTATGAGGGCGACATTTCCTTTGTTCTTTGGATCAAAAACCCAAATGTCAAAATTTTGATAAACTAGAACATTCTTGGCTGGCTGTTCCAACCTCTGACACAGAGTCCCCCGCAGCCTAGAACTACTTGCTTGGTGGCACTGGTGCCAAGTTTTCTTCCTCTGACTACCCTTTCTTTCCCGGGTCACTATGACTGCAACAGCAAACTGTTTATAAAAATATTTATCCCATTTTCCATTTACTTAATGTCATTGACTGCAAATGGAGCAACTCAGGAAAAATAGCACTGACTTGTGCTTGTCCAGTGTGTTGATTATATTTTGGCATCGTTGAGGCTGTATGATTGATAGGATGTCTAAGATTTAAGATAGGATGTTAAGATTTTTGGTATACAAAAATGAGAGCTTCTTCTTGTAAGGAACGCAATGCCCCCAGCAGGGGATCCTCCATTCTCTAAGTCCTTCCTCCCCCATGATTCTGTTTGTAACAGCCTACGGCATCTAATAATAAATATTAATAAATAACCTAGTTACCGAAATGCACTTTGGACAAATGACTATGAAACAAGAGCCTGAAAGTTAGCCAACTCTGGAAGCCCTTGGCTATATAGTCCGCTCAGAAAAGTCTATGATTTTCATGAAAATGTCAACATTACAAGACTTTATTCTTCCCAAATATCCTTCAGTTCTAAGTGTTCTTTCTCAGGAGGCAGTGGGATTTTCCATCTAATGTTACTTTCCCATGAAAACTGCTGGAAGAAGCAGTGGTACTTAGGTTTGGCTTTGAGTGTTCTCCCTTCTCTGTATACAAATGTTTGGTAATTGCTTTCCGGGTATCCTCTGGTTTGGTAATGAGGGTTTACATCTGAGCATCCTTATTGGAAGTCTGTCATGGATTCTTTTCTCGCAGAGAGGGCTGATTCAGTCTCACTTCCCTTGACAGATTTTATTTGCTCATCAGAGAGAGGGTCAGAGAAGCCATTCTGAATGCTGGCTGATTCTGAACACTCATGAAATTACTCTTATTTGGATTAAAATGGCTCCTTGATTTCAGCCATATTTATCTTCTGTGTTGGTCAGGGTAGGATTGAAGTTATACAATTTTGCTGCCTGGGGAACTAAGGTTTGTGCCTGTCCACTCTCCTCCTCCTCCTCCTCCTCCTCCTCCTCCTCCTCCTCCTCCTCCTCCTCCTCCTCCTCCTCCTCCTCCTCCTCCTCCTCCTCCTCCTTATTCTTCCCAAACATCCTTCAGTTCTAAGGAACTCTGCCTCCTTTGTGCATAGGAATGGCAAACTGACGGGCAAGAGAGTGTTGTGGGGAGAAAATCGGTGCGAGGGGAACCTGGTAAATGGAAAGCAGTGCAGCCAAGTGGAGTCTTCCCTCTTATAACTTA